AAAATGTAAGCAACAAGAAACATGAATTAACAAATCCACCCCGCTTGCCCTATCTTGCTTTGATGCAGAAAATAAGTTTGCGTCATTGTAGGATCTCACAAATAATCTTTCATGTTCAGTCTCCAAAATTGATTAAAGTTGCGACCAACTTTGCCATCTCATGTCTCAGAACCTTCTTCAACAGTAGGAAGACCGCCTTCTCTGATAAATGTTGGGTTGAGAAACTTAGCCACAAAAGCCCACAATTTATATACATCCTCAAAATTCGTCAGAAAGCCCAGTGAAGCCGTCACAACTTCAAGCCTAACAAAGCTACCTTTTCCATCACGCCGACCATTCTCCATTGGTCTACAAAGAGTTGTGTCTTCTAGATTAGGAGCTCCACGATGCTGTCTTGAGCTATCAAGAATCTGTATATGACTCAGAAAACCAAGACCAAGAGAAATTCCTTCTTTTTCAGCAAGCTTTTGAACAATCTCTGGATTAATTAGCCCCCTACTTCTGTCCCTCACATTGAAAGCCACAGCTGCACCTCTTTCATATTTTATTTTCGGACCGTATATGTGGACAAGACTTGCTTTTTCACCGCCATCAGAAGCAGGCAACTTCAGTTGCAGTAACGAGGTAACAAGCCAATTTATCAAAAACCGAAGTCTAAGTGTAGTTTTATTGAGACCAAGCATGTTGACATGGTCAATATGACGACACGTTATCTCTGGTTCCCTCCTGCCCCAGTCCTGTCCATCACCGTATTCTCCATCACTGGTCGCCTCTTCATCATCAAAGCTAGTTGCAGATACGTCTCCCGGTTCTAAGGTCTGGCTAAGGTACTCTTTACGATTATCTTCCATGCTAAATGACACTCTTCTTCCCCTGCTGGTCGCTTCATTCTCTTCCAAACCAAAAAACCTACCCCCGCCATAACGATTCCCTTCTCTCCTACCCAACAGCCTGAATTCACCTTCTGTTTCCCTTCTTATGGCACTCTCTTTGACATCAGCACATATTTCCGAAGTAGACCCATTCTCCAAGCTTTGATGCCGAGCAAGAGAAGTTGAATTATTCAGCCAAGATCCATTATTGACCGCTCCACTGGTTCCAGGTTCTTCCAGGATCTCATCCACATGCAGATGATCAGTACCATTACCATTTCTTGAATAATGATCAACTTCCTCCACCTGCTCTTCTTCAGGCACCTCTTTGACTCGGTCAAGTTCCTGTGACATCAGGACAGCCGCATCAAATGACAGCACACGGCGGTCCTCATGAGCACCTAGGTTTACTTCTCTGTCATCGTACATCGGGCTGCCATACATCTTGGATGCTGTTTTTGGTGAAGGCTGCTTCTGGTTCCTCCTCCCATTGAACCAGAAAGGTGGTAGTGGGGAAGCTATCTTGTGTTTATTCGATTGACCTGCACCATCAGACCCCAATGGACTCTGACCCAAATCAATCCAAAATGAATTGTCCGATGACTCGTCCTCACTGAACACAGGACTCTTTATCACGTCTCCAACAGATATGCTCTCCGTCTCCTCAAATATGGTGCTGGTTCCATCTCTTTCAGAGCTGTCTTGATCCATTTCAGTCTCGAACACATCTCTGACCTGAGCAGATGTGAATGCACCAGAAAAGGCAGGCAGCTGTGTTCCCTGACGAGTTTCAGTAGTCTTGTCCCCCAACCCACTGATTTCATCGTCTTCAATTCCAACAAATTTATCCAAGCCATCTACAGAATCACTCAAATACATTGGAAACTCCGGAGTAATCTTCACCATTCCAGACCCAGTACAACCAGACTGATTTTGAAGGCTTTGCATCACCGATTTCTTGATCAGAAGACAGCCAAAACCTGTGGGATCATATCCAAAAACCCTGTAAAATGAAGTGATTATGAAATCTGGCCGAAAGAGGGACAAGCCAAGCGAATCCATGTCCTTGGGGCCCAATGAACCGGCATCCAGTAAGACATGCCAGTTGTTCTGCTGGGCCAAGGCCATCCACTGGTACGAATACTTAGCCCCAGTCACTCTAGACTGGACTGGGAACACAAAAAGACCGGTAGCCGAATCCTTCTTCCTCTTCTTCTTGTTGGAAATCTGTTTTCTCAAATCAGTGGAACAGAGTTTGAGGGTTGGCCATTTAAACCAAGCACTGTACACTTTAGCACCTTTCTCCCTAGCACTCTGAGCCATCCAAGCAACGGACTGGCTCTCATGGTCGAACATGGTCAACAACTTTTTGTTTGTATGGAAAGGGTATGATTCAGCAAGCAGTTTAAAAGCTGATCCTCTGCTCACAGTAAAAACAAGGCCATACTCATTCTCAGGTATATTCAAATAGTCCATGATCCTAGTCTTTATATCATGCTCCACAGTTCCTCTCTCGGCACCACCATAAAGTGCATGGTTACTCAAATTTGCAGTAATCTCAGACAAGCTAAACGTAGAAGACTCCCAGTAATGAATTGTCTGAACAAAAGAGAAGAGTCCAAAACCACAGTAATCAAGGCATACCTTGGGAGACAAATGTGAGTACTCGTCAGACCTCAACTGATCAACCTTCTCAGAGGACTGGTACTTGGGGTACATGGTGAGGAACTTGGAAAATGCTTCCTGTAGGCTGGGAATTTCCTCCTCAGACTCGAAGATGCGCTCCGCCGCAAGGGCGGTGGCTCTAAGGAACTCGCGCTGGGCGTGCAGCCTGGCAAGCGATCGGGATCTCCCAAGGCCATCATCTTGGTTGGCAGCAGAGTCCGGCTGGTCTATGTCTTGAGATTTGGAGAGTGAGCCATCTTCAGAAGCTTCCTCAAGGGCCTCCCTGAGCTTGTTCTCCTGCAGCTTCCGAAGCATTGATGGGTTTCTCTTTATGTCAACATTGGATTCATCTTTCCTCCTGCTCTTCTTGTCCATGATCAGTGCAGCACAGTGAGAAATGGGCTTCCATAGTGACAGATGCATGCTCCTTTCTCCTCTTCTCACACAAACCAATATCAGATTCTTTCCCACACTTCAAACAACACAGAACAACCCTTGGTTTAGCCCATCACATCAATTTACAACAAATTCTGCTTCAACAGCTTCCCCAACAAAAGATAAGGAATCTGGAATCTTTAAAGACCACAGCTCCCCAACAATCTAAGCTGTGAGACATGACATTTTTTTTTTGAAAGATAAACAAACAACTCAGCTCAATATTTCACTAGAAAATCCACAAAGAAAAAGAAAATTTATATTTTGTCCACAACCCAGAATAGAATCAACACCCAGTTTCTCAGAGGAGAGAGAAGGGTAACGAACGAAAAGAAACCGAAAGAGAGAGAAAGTCAAAGCTCAAACCCTAGAACCCAGATCCCAAAATTTGCAAGGCAACTCGCAGCAACAAGAAAATTCAAAACAGAATTTTGGAGTAATAGGTTTCAAGAAGAATCAAACGACAAATGATAGAATCCATGAAGCTCAATCAGTAGCGAGACACACTTTACAAAACACCTGAGTAGCCTTCAAAGGTGAAGAAAGATCCTCCTCCTCTCTCTATTCAATTCTTGGCATAATAATTAAAGCACAGCGCCACAGCGAATTCTCTTTTTACTAAAAGAGAAGGATAACCAAAACAAACCAGTTTGGTTAGATATCTGCCATGAACGATTTTCTTCTTAAATTGAAAACCAAAAAGAAATGAAAAAGAAAAGGTAAAGAAAAGAAAAAGAAGGGAAATTTCAATTCAGTGTAACCCCGTTGTCCTCTTTCTCTCTCTGACCCAAACACCTCTTTCAACTCTTGGAAAACAACCCTTGCTTAGCATCCACTATAGGTCAAATTATCAGAATTTGCCAATTGGTGGAATTTTAGAAATGCTATCTTTTAAATGTCTTTTGCTCATTAGATAATTGTTTAATTAAAAAACTAAAAAAAAAGTGTAAACAACAAATATAGATGGATTTCTTTTAAGAGAAATAAAAAACTTATAAGTCCTGAATGTATAAACTATAAAACACAACTTGTTACTATTTTTTTTTTAATTTCGAGGTATGACTCCTAAATAAAATTCACACATCCTTGTAACTGTTTTTTTAAGATTATTTTAATGAATAATTGATACACATGTGCAAATTATGTATATCTCAATTATTATGGGTGCTTAATGTCAAAGGACATTTGTAGTGCTCTTTAACATGTAAGGGAAATTACTTATTTAAATTTTGTTTTGTCTTTGTATGGAATTGTGATATAATGCGGTGAAATTGAAGTGTTATTTAAATTGACTAATTTTAATGGTTGGATATTAAGTTGTGATGAATATTTTGTGTTACGTGAAATGAAAATGTGAAAATATGAAATATTAACATTTTAGTCTCAAAGATTGATAAATTTAACTTTTTTGATTTTAAGTGGTATATTTGACAAATTAGTTTTTTTGCTAGAACTGATGAAGAGAAAAGGGAAAATACCATTTGAAATTTAAAGGAGTAGAATTGTCATTCACTTGAACTATGCTATAACTTTGATGGGTGAAATCTTATTGTTATAGTGGTTTGGTTTCAAAGATTAATAACTTTGTTTCAATTGGTATTAGAGTATATGTTTGTTCTAGTAGAAATGATGTTTGGTTGTTAATAGAAACTTCTTTAAAAGATCTTTGATTGATTTGATTTGACACTTCTTGAGCTAAGACATTGATATATCAAAGCATTGTGAAGTTTATTTAGTGGAGAATAACTCAAGAAGAGTCAAATTGCTCAATTAAAACTCACAAGAATTTTTTGCTTCTAGTATATCGTTGGACATTGTTGTAGTGTCGTTAGACACCATAACTTGAATAGTGGCTATTGTCTTGAGGGTGTTGGGTGCCACTTCTAGACTATTGGGAGCTCTCAAATTAGTGAGTCTTAAGAGTTTGTAGTATTGGGCGCCAGTCACCTCGAAAAAATTAACATTATTGCCTTATTAACCATTAGATTGAACTGAAATTTCGACCATTGGTCCTAAACATGTGATTTTTCACTTCGACCATTGGATTTTTTATTTGAGATTTATAGGTAGAGTAATGCATCTCACAATTTTGATGTATTTAAGGAAAATATGGTATTTAAATGTTACGCTAAAGTAATAGAGAATGAAGGATGAATTATTAACATGTAATTTGAAATAAACAATATGTGAGTGATTTAAGACTATGTGAAAATTTGGTAAATAAGTTATGTGTGATATGTTGCACTTTAGTTATTTTGTTATGATTGTATATGAATAGTGTGATGATTTAAGACTATATGAGAATTTGGTAAATAAGTTATATGTGATATGTTACTTTTTTGTTAGTTTCTTGTGATTGTGACTACTATCTTGGTAATGATTATTTTTGAATTAGATGTGTGTGATAGTGACTGTGACTATTTGAGATGTTTGTTGAATGCAATTGGAATAAGTTGAAAGTTAGAAGCATTCTACTAATGTGTTAGGTATATATGAATAGGGACTGTGAAGGAGATTATCCAAACCCCGTTAAGTATCTCAACTCATATAGAGTAGGATATTTAGTAGTGAGAGTCGATAGAGATTTCCTATGTTAGGAAAGGATAGGAAATGACCCATTTCTGACTGACATAGACAAAATAATCCTATCGTTAGGAAGGCAAATAGAATCATGGATTTTTAGCCAAAATGTTATTAATATTATGATGATAGGGTAATATCTCTGAGTTTGACTCTATATACAAAAGTCCTCCGAAGGTAGTTATTATATTTGATTCATGACATGTCTTTTGAATGAATGGTTTGAATAAGATTTGTTTGTACCATCATTTTTTAAGATTTCACTATAATTCTTTCTTTTAAATACATTAGCTTATCCTCTCATGTATTTGTATGTTTTTCTTTCACTATAATCATTTGTGGATACACAAGAGCATAAGTACGGTAGGAGAGAAAACTAGTGTTAAAGGTGCTTTGGAATAAAGTTAGGTAGACTCCTATTGATGTAGAACTTTTTGTATTACTTTTGTTTCTTTCCTTCCTTTGACTTTAACTTTTTGTTTTGAAAAAGCTTTGATGTAGATATTTATATATACATTTTCAAATCTAGAAGTCAATCATTTTCAAATATAAACTTTTTTACAACACATTTTGCTTTGTTTTCATAGATAAACTCTGTTTTACACTTTGTGCCATCCATTTAGTATTTTATTCACAACCAAACTAGTTAGAACATTGTGTTTCCTGCCAAATTCCTGTGGATAAGACACTTGTTATACTACAAACTACCCAATATACTTGCTTGTATATTTGGTTGTTGTGTGGGCATCCCAACACAAAGCTCCATTTATCTTCATTTTTTTTTGTTTCTTCTCTTTTCTCCTATTTCTAGTCTTTAATGTCTTGTATAACCTTTTAACTTCTTGAGTAAATCAGAGCATTGATAGGTAAAACTTAAACCTTCTCTTCATGAATAACCTAATCGGTATTGGACAAGGGTTTCTCTCTACACCACCACAAGCTTCTTCCTCCACCACCACATTCCACAATTATCTCTTAGTAAAAATTAAAGTACTCTGGTTAAAAAAAATTACTTCACCTAATTTTTAAATTTTTAACTACTTCAATAAATATGATCTCCGCTATACCCCCACAACCCCACAGAGAAATGCTCTTCTCATTCTCAATTCTCTTATTTTTGTTTCTCAATTGTTTCTCTTCTCTGGTTGTGTGCTTGGTGTATGGTGGTGGTGTGCTTCTATGCTGGTGAAGAAGCCTTGATTTTTAAATGTTTAAACTGTTAGCCTTGATTTTTAAATTATTTATAATATGAATTTTTTTGTTATATATTAAAACAATCACCCGATTGAATGGGATAAGAGTGATTTGTCTCTCATCTCCTTCTCTCCTTTTATGATGAAAAAAATACACAAATTTTATAACTTAAAAAATGACATGAAAAATCATCACATTAAATACATTATAATTTTGAAGTTAACTAATTTCATAATGATTTTGTTATAATAAGACACCGTACATGGAATCTAATAAAACTTGTAAATTACTTATATAGTTGATAAACTAGTTTCTAACTTATAAACTAATTATTAGTTCTTAGCTCATCGTCTATATATCAAATAGGAAACAACTAACTAAAAGGTTAGATAATAAATGTAGAATAGAATAACAAAATATGATTACGTAAAAAGTTTTGTATTTCTTAACATAATATATGACTTTGAAATAAAAACTTGAATATTTAATATAATGTCGTAAGAACATATTGAACATAAAAGATAAGACGTGAATTAAAAAAAAACATTAGGAAGATGAAAATGTGCTAAAAAAACAATGAAAATGTAGAGATTAAAGAGTGAATAAATAGCAATATAGAACAAAAGAAATGACAAAAACGAAACATATAAAGACGATAAATCAGTAGTAAGATGATATATTCCTCAACGATATCTATTTGTTGAGTAATTTCATTCTTCATGTTATTCTATTTGTTGTATTCATTCATTTTTTTTTTGTTTTAACATGTTATTCCAGATAGGTTCGTTGTTCGTTTATCTTTTATTTTATCACGTGTCTTTGTAAAAAAACAAAAGTGAGCATTTATTACATTTGTCGTCATTGGTATATCTATTCTCAACTCAAATTCTTCCCTTTTATTTGTGAGGTGTTAAATTATTATCATTTTCCAACAGTTGTTGGTATGCTGATGAGAGTGTGAAAAAAAATAATGGTAATAACGAGTATAATTGATGCAAGATATTAAAAATAAAAAAGATGTTAAAAGAAATATATAAATGCAAGTCCTTGATCAGATATAAATAGACCTATGAATTTGGCTGGTTACATAGATCTTGTCTCTGACTCATATTTAAGGATGGATCAGAATTGACATATCCATCCTTGAGTTAAATTGAAAGCTCTATATATAAAGTATTGAAATTTATATCTTTTTCTTTTTAGAAATAAAAAAAAAACGCAAAACGTATCTTCTTGAACTTTTTAAATTTTAATTAAAGGAGTATTTTAAATCTCAGAAATAAAATATGTTTTAAACAAAATTTAATGATTAATTTGACCGAATCTGCATACCTATTCGTTAAAATAAATCACAGTTAATTACCTAAATAGTAGTCAAAATTTAAATTACAGAAACTAAAAAAATTAATAAAGAAACGCTATCATAAAAAATAAACATAAATGTAGGTCATGATTTTTTTATATATTTTTTCTAGTTTCAACATCTGTTTTAATAAACAATTATTTGTTTTTAAATGTTTTAAAGTTAAAAAATCTTAAAAACACAGTTAAAGCAAATTAATAAAAGTTGTTGAAATAAGTAAATACAAGCAGGATTATTTCATAACTATAAATAAGTATTTTAAACTTTTTATACCAATAAACTTTTACAGATAATTTAAAAATATAATAATATTAAAAAAATTAATCCAATTTTATCAATAAATGATATTTTCAGTATGATCGTACCCTAAACTAAAATATTTTGAAAATTTATTTAATTTTGATTAACAATAAATTATTAAGTAATGTGTTTAGCTATGATAGTAGGCTAAACTAAAATATTTTATATTTTATTTAATTTTAATTAACAAAAAATTATTAAGTAATATTTTTCGTTATGAATGTGAGATTAACTAATTATACTTTTATAATTTTTTTATTAATATTTTAAAAACTATCAATTATATTTATATTTCAGTGTTGTTCGATATAAAAATAATATTACATTCATTAGCTCATCATACTTGATATTTAAAGATAGACTTATATTTATATTTCAGTGTTGTTCGAT